GGTATAAAACTGCACAATCTTGGCAAGTCATGAAACCTGTTATACTTTGTTGCAGACATTCATAGATTCTCTTTAGAAATCTAGTCGGAAATTAACTTAGATACTTGATACTGTTAGCCACAAGGTTATCAATGCACATCTTGTATTGTTAGGAATTCACTCCTGACAAATCTTTCATGTTCAAAGGATTACAAAATATAGGTACACCAGAGTTCATTGTGAAAGCTGAAACTTGTCAGCTGACAGATAAAAAAAAAATGTGTTTTTATGGTTTTTGTAGAGGACAGTTCAATTTGGTTAGTTTAAAATAAACATGATAAATTTTTAACTTTCTTAAATAAGGTATCATTACTATTACATATTGATTCTTTTGAACCAGTTATCGTATGTATTATAAAAATTCAAGTGAAAAAACCCCAAAAAAAACAAACAAAAAAACAAATAAAAAACAAGCACTCCACCAATGACCTTTTGCCTCTTTCCACTAAACTAGGACAAAGAATTTCCATTTCCAAGCAACCAGCCCTGTGTAAGCAGAATGAATGGTTGCTGGGTCTTAATATAATCTGTCTGTGATTCATAATGCCATTTCTCTGATGGAATTTTTTTTCTCCTTCCATTATATTTCTTGTTGCGCATATATTTATGTTTTATCCTCAACTGAGCTTGAAACAGTGAGAAGCAATAACCAGTTAGTGTTCTTTTTTATTTGGTTTCTTTTCACCAGTTTATAGTGAGTATTATTTCTTTTTTTTTTGCTTATCCTTGATCTCTCCCCACTTCTTTGTTTTAACATATTTGTATATATTATATGAATAAATACTATTTTAAAAATATCCATTTTTAAAATCATAAAGATATTTTTAACCAATGGGATGTTTGGATGGAATCTTTTGGTAAGTCTTGCTTTTGAGTTTTATTCTGGCAAGGAATGTTCTGGGAGAAAAGGCTTGAGAAGATAATTCCTTCAGAAGATTATTTCCAACCAAAGAGACACAGAATTTGGAACTCGAGAATTTTGTGAAGTAGTTTACTGAGCTTTTCGGAAAGGGAAGACCTCAGCCAGCCTATTCACTATTCATCACAATTCTATTCATGAATTACTAGTCAAGGAGAGATGCAAGTCTGTAGAGTAAGTAACCTTAGCAGGGAGTTGAGAAAAGAGGACACTGTGTTCTGAGGTATGTGTGGCTCTCAAAGAGCAACAAACAACAATTTAAAAACAGATAACATTGAACATGTTTGTCTGAATCACACACAATCAAACCAAGTTTTCCTTAATAATATGAAGTTAACTCTCTTCCCTTATAATTCTACAAGGCAGTACCAACTTCTGACATTTAGTTTTAAACAATAAGAAAACATCACTTTTTAAATACATGTATTCAAGATGTATTTCAGAAAAGAAAGACAAAATATTCAAGCATTTTGTTTTTAAAACAATATTGAAATATCATTTTTTAAAAGATATATTCAGAATGTTATGCAATGCTTCAAATTAGATCCCTTTCTGATTCACACTACATGCTGGCTGGATGTAAATGCTAAGAAAGCAAAACCAAAAATAAAAAAAATCTTCTGCACAGGGGATTTGAACATCACATTCAGCTCACTAAACAAATCCCCCTCACCCAATATAAAATACAATATGAAAGGAGCCAATCAAACACTGCTGCCAAAGAAAAAACATGAAAAAAAAATAATGATGAGTTCATTATCCACCACATTTGCTTTTAAGAATACGCTCATAATCCTGGAATAGAATCATGGAAAACGGGTAACCTGTAAGATGTCTATCACCAACAGTGACCTCGGTCAAACAACCTGACAAATATCAACTCCAGAGCCTACAAACTCTACCTTTCCTCCAAGTTGATTCCCTTGCCCACAAAGAGACCTTCCACTCACATCCTTTGTATTGGCAATACAAAGAATTTTATATTAAAAATTCTTGTCCTCTTTTCCTTTCATCTCACTGGCATTACTTGTTGTTTTGTTTGTTCTCTCATGTTACCATACATGTGTTTATAGCAAAATAAGTTTGGGATATGAACACAAAGTATTCAGACATGTTCTTTAAACAATAAAAAAAACATCACTTTTTAATGGATATACTCAAAATGAATGATACAGATATGCAATGGGAGAGGTAATGAAAGAAAGATTTTTTTAATCGTTTCACCCCAAGCAAGGTAATAAAACCACTAAGATGCAAGGGGTTACTGGGTGTTACAGAATAAGAGAAAAATAAAACACTGTTAAGGAAAGAGAACAATAAAAGAACAAGAATTAAGGAGACAGAAGATAACTATTGACATTGCATTTAAATTTTTGAAGATCGAAGTTGATTGGGAAGCAAGAAGCCAGAAGAGAGTTTTACAAACAAGAAGTGTGATAGAAGAAACTATTAACATTGAATTTATGGTTACAACCTTACCACCAATCTCATAATCCAATTGAATTCATAAAGTCCAGATACCATTGTGGAAAATTCATCAGAATAATTACCATGAAAGTGTTTATAGAAAAGGCACAGGGAAGCTATATTACAGCAGTGGGAAAGTGACTGAAGCCAAGATGCCAGGCCAAGAGCAATAACATTGCAGATTCTTTGGATTTTATCAAGAATATCTAAATATATAGCACGAGCACTAGACCAAAGGTGGTTGTAATACTCAAAGCAAGGACAAATGGTAGACTTATAAATATTTATGATATATTCTGGCAAGAAAAATACTCTAGCACAACACAATAAACCAACTTTCCTAGTAGCTGATTCAATATGCAAATAAAATATAAATAAATTTCCATATAAATATAGCAATTAATTCAATATATAAATAAAATATAAAAAAAAACAAACCCTAGTGCAAATCCAAGGTCTCTTGAGACTGACAAATGTCACACACACATGAGTGTGAGAATGATGCATTTTATTTTTTTTTATACCTGGATTAACAAGTAAAAATGATTAATTCTACCTCTATTTTAAATATTTTGTATTTAATTGAGAAATAATCAGAAATTTATGTGCAACCTATTACTATCAAATAAGATTATAACCCCAAATAATGATGATCTATAAACTGAACAAATACCAGAGTGTTTTAGAGTTTTAGCATTATCTAACAGACGTGAATATATGAAAGATAACAATATATAAATTTTTATATTTTAAGAACATTGGGCGGGGGGATGTATGACAAAGTGGAAAAAATAGTAATAAAAAAAAAAAATTCTTTTTGACCTGCCCTGCATAAAGATGCTCGGAAATAAAGATTTATATATATATATATATATATATATATATATATATATATATATATATATATATATGGAAAAAAATGTATGATAAAATGATAAAAGTTTTTGTGTGATGCATTTCAATGAAGTCCTAAAATGCATCACACAAAAACTTTTCACTTTGTCATACATTTTTTTCCCCCATATATATATATATATTTATTTTTGAGCATATTTATACAGGTCAGGTCAGGTCAGAAGAAATGTTTTTATTACTCCTATTTTTTAAAATTCTTATCAGCTACTGTCTAAAGTTCTGAGATGAAGCCCCAAATTATTGGGACAAACAGCATCAGTTTTATTAGTTTGGTGGTAAATATGTTTTGGGTGTTTTTCTTGAATATATGTTGTATCTTGAGCATTATCAGTTGACATTACAAACAGGAGAGGAAGAGATGGTAATGGTGAGATTAACAATTTCCTTATAAACCTTATTGAACAAAAAGTTAGTGTTACTGTCAATTGAAATTATAAAATTGTTATCTTATTTAATCTATATGGAGGGAGATTAAAAAAAAACGTTCAGTTCAAAATTCCCTGAGGCTTTCCTGGATTGACAAGAACTTGATGAAAGCCAGAGGACAAAACAGATTAAATGTTGTGATAACAAAAAAGCTAAAGACAATAGTCGATGTGTAAATAATGGTAATTCCTTATCCCAGAAATTCAGACAAAGTTCTTTGTAATCCTGCAGCACCAGACTATGAGTTTGGATGAGAGATAGTCTTCTTTAAAACTTATAGGGTTCATTCATTTGAAGTCATTTTTAATCATTGATATGAGAAAATGGTTGTATATAGTTGGTTGTCTATATATAAATAGTTTAGACATTACTGAATGAAACATGATTAAATAGAGATCATTTGACTCAAAGATGATATTTATTAAAGGAATTGTTGATTGTTTGTTTTTATGGCTTATCAACCCATTGTAGATTATTTAAAGCCAGAAAATATTCTAGATTTTAAGAATTTTTTTGTTTGAGATAATAACAGTTTAGTGATTGAGGCGAATGAAGAAAACAGTAACCAGTGAGTAAATTCAAGCTCTCCCAGCTGGTATTTCAACCTTGAGTCATTCCTTCTTGAGTTCTGTCTCCAAATCACACTAACTGCTCGTTCTTGCCGTCAACTGTGAACGTCCCTCGAAGAACTCCCTCATTTCAACTGCAGTAGCTTTACATGCTAAGCAAATACGGGCTCTTTTTTGGCAGGGACAAGGCAAGTCGTGACCAGTTGTGCTCGTCCCAGGTTCTGTCTCATGTCCGCCACAGTGATGCAAGTCTTACTAATTAACCCATAGCTGGGGGTAGAAGAGGTGGATTCATAACTTTTTCAAAGGTATTTGCATGTAAATGAATATAATAAACCTATATGTAATTGGAACTTGGCTCTCTGATTTCCAGTTCAGAACTATTATCAATTACACCACCTGCACATCCAAGTTTACACCACCTGGTATTCTCAAGCGGTCACCCATTTAGGTACTGTCCTGGATCAATGTTGCTTGACTTTGGTGATTGTACAGAAACTAGTGTTTCAACATTTTGTGGCTGTAAGCCAAATTATTAAAGGAATGACTAACCAATCAGTGTCAAGGTTGACAATGCATGTTATATATTTTTTTATTGTTTTTTTTTTTTAACTCCCTGTACAGAGTGATACCCTAACACCCACTCAATTCTTTTCCATTGAATATCAAGATATATGAGAGCTAAATACAAAGCAAGAACTTGTAAAGATAGATAAAAGAAATGAACTTTCATGATTTTGAATGAATTGAAGAGAGGACAGTCCAACTTGATTATACGAAAGAATGGCAAGGAGATATGATTTTTGACATCCTATCTATCTATAATAGATATTGATAAGTACAACTTAATACTTACAGTCATTTCCTTGGAATGCCAGTGGTAGAAGGTTATCATTGGGTTTTGAGGATCCACTACTAATTTGGGTAAGCCTTTTGTTGGTGTCCGCCAGCTCAGCTCGTAAAGCATTTACCTCCTGGTTGGCTGCATGGATTGAACCATCTATTCGGGCTGCAAGCTGTTTATTGTCCTCAACCATTTTTCGAAATTTGCCCTGGGCATCCATCAACAGTCGTCGGATGAGAAGCATCGAGGATCGGAGAGTCTCCTGTTCATGAGAGGAGAGTTCTCTGTCAAGATCCAGTGTGACATCTTTGGGTGTAAAGATATACTGGACAATCTGGTCATTTAAGGAATCCAGGGACTGGATAGCTGGAAATAAAAAAAGAAGAGAAATTACGATCAAGAAAGAAATTAATAAGAATACAACAAATATTTGTTAGGGAATTGACTTTGGCCAGGTCGAGGATAGTTCTAAAATAATCCTGCTGACTACAAGCATAGATAAAAAAAAAAATAAAAAAAGGAAGAAAAGAGTAACAACATTATTTGGCATCTGGGTTAAAATATTTTATAGGTTGTAGTGTATTCCCCTTGGAATATAGATGAACAGAGTTCATTAGCCTTAGTTGGCAGTCTGTCTAGGAGAAGAATCACCGATTTCAGTGGAATGGTTGAAAAAGCTTTTGGGACTTACCAATGTGAATTTAATTCTCAATGAGAATCATTTAGTAAAATCTTTTTTTTATTTTGTCATTATATTATCCAATATTGTTTTGATACATGGAAATTTATATATCATATTCTCCTATTTGTAGTGCCGGATTTACATATGGACTAGTATAGACTGCAGCCCAGGATCTCTAAAATAAAACTAGAATAAATTAAAGATACAAGAATGGAGGAGATTTGTTTATTTTCAGATTTATTGGGGCTCCTTTGATCTAATTTGAAATAATTTAGAGTATTTGGACCCCTCTTGTTGGAATGGGACTTTTAAATTTGATGGGACCCCATTTACATTTTGATGCATCTTATATATATTTTATGTAGCTTTTTAGCTTTGCATAATTGTGTCTCAATTTTACTGCAATTTTACAGATGTAATAAATGCAAAGTTGCTTAATTTTATACAAAATAGACCAAAACACAATAAAAATAAAAAAAAGGAAAATTGTGCAATTCTGAAAAAAATATTTAAAATATTAAAAACTTTGTAATATTTATGAATTTTTGTTTAAAAAAAGTTAGACTTTGTTGCAAATTTTTTTTTGTAACTGCTCTGAAATTTTGTATATAATTGTTTTTTTTGTTTTTTTTTAATATAATTGGTTTTCTATTTTTTCAGATTAATTTTCACATAATTTCTCCTTGAAGAGATCTTATAAAAAAGGATCCCAAAAAAGGAAGAAGAAACCATATAAAATTTCTTCTGATGATTTAATCAAAGACTTTGTTGCAAACAAATCAAGACAAAAGTTAGTTTTTTTCTACTATGTCTGTGTATTTGATTCTCACTGTGAGAAAAGTCATTGTCTTTCATTAGAATGTGATACAATCAAAGATCTTTTTTCTACCTAATCTCCATGATTATAGGTTGGTTATTTGAAGTTGACAATTTTAACAATAAATATAATTAAATTTTTTCAGCTGTTGTGATCTAGGATAACAAGGCTGTAGCAAGTCAGAATTTTCATTCTCTATTATCTTTACATTTGTAGGATGCTTTGCTAGTGAATTTTGAATACTAGAATTTCAGAATAATACAGGCCCTTCATTCTAGATACATTTCCATAGGATGTAAAGTTCAGAAAAAATATTATGAAGTAGCTAATGAAATAAATTGGATAAATAATAAATAAATCATTAAAGATTTTATTTGAAGTGTTTCATGTTTTACATCAAAAAAGCATCATCTAAAAATAAAGTTTTTTTTATAGACATTGGGGATGAACATATGTAATGAAGGGGCTCCAAAATTCTGTTAGCCCAGAGATTGCTTCAGGCTTAAATATGGCCCTGCCTTTATGCTAGAAGACTGACTTATTGTTTTATTAACATCAATATTGAAGGTTAAAATTTTGTTCCCAATTTTTTTGTCATATCCAAGAGCAGCTTTGTTTTTTAGTTTTTTTTGTTTTGTAGTAGCAAAAGGTTTCAGAAAAATAAACAGACAGAAAGATATTAGCTCAGTGCTAATAAAAAACTTTTCAGTAAATATTTTGATACATAATGGATAATATTAATACACGAACAAATGAACAAGCAACATATAATGGCAAGATTAAAAAAAAAAAAGACAATTTTTTTTCATTTTTGTTGTAATGAATAATATGTAAGATCAAAAAACAAAGTCATGCAAAAAAAAATATTTAAAAACAGCCCCCTCCCCTGCAAAAAAAAAAAAAAAAAAAAAAAAAAAGTAAAAAAACCCATAAATCTGCATTATCATTTGTTCCTTAGTTAGTTAGCACTTATGTTACAATAGTCCTGTGTATGACAAACTATATCTGGCAGCAATGCCTCTGATTGGGAGAGTGGAGGTTTCAAGGAGTGTGAAACCAACTCTTACTTGTTGTTGCTCCCAGGTTCACTCAGATCCTGGGTGGTAGCACCATTTATGGTCCAAGCTATAGACAAATAGTGAACCCCCAAAATAGTGGATTCAAATTTTGATTCATGAGTTTCGTTACATAGTAATTGAATTCAATCCCTGGGTCGGGGAGTGTAGAGTAAACTAATCATGGTAAATTGTAGTGATACTAAATAAACACATAGAACTGGATGTTAACCCTAAGACGTTCAAAGAGATAATGTCATAAACTGGTTTGTGTGCATGAGGCTCCATTTGTTCTGGTTAAAAATGAATAAATAAGAAGTTCTAATAAATAAAAAGTTTTAGCCAGTCAAAAGCATTTGCATCCAAATAATGATTTTGGCTGAGCCTTTTTGATCCTAAAAAAGGCAAGTATATAGAGACCTCGTTTTCAATCAAAACTCCAAGGGGAAAACAGACACCAAAGAGGATAGACCACATCAAAGAAATCTCAACTCCAATGACCTCTTACCTACTCATACATCAACCCAAAGAAGATCTCACATCAAAGGATATTAAAGTACTTTTCACAAATTTTATATTATCTTAAACTTAATTCTTTTATTGGACATGATTTTGTTTACAGATACATACATCCTTCAAGGAACATTTACAAATGATTTTAACAATTTGCATTTTGAAATCTAAAACTTTTGTTGTTTATAATACTTTATTTATATTTTATTTTATTTCATATTTATTCTATTGTATGGGTTAAAACATTCAAGGCCTAAACCCCAACCTAAAAACATCCCACAATCACCATAAAATAGATTCATATATTTCCATGCAATCAAAAAGGTATTTAAAAATAGAAGCCTGGATACTATATCTTTTCTATTTGTCTTTTAATAAAACATTAATTTATTGAAGGCAGTTGAATTAATTCTGCTTGGTCTTCATGCTGAATGACTGAAGGTGTGAGGAACAGAAAGAGAATACGAAAGAAATGTTACTGATATATATTGCTCTCTTACAAACCGCATTAAGAGGTGGGTAAAAGGAAAATAGAGATATTTTTAAAAGGTTGAAAAATAAAGTTAGCTCATGCCACTTGGTGTTCCATTGAAAAAAATGGAAAAAAGGTTTTATATTTTTCACTGAGTAATTTTACAAACGGATTTTTCAGTATTTCTCATGTATCAGGTGCTGAAAATTTCTCGGCTGACCAAGAAAGACACTTAAGAAGAAAAAAAAAAAATTCAATAAAAAAATAAGTAAAAATATAAATAAAAATTTAAAAATTGATGTTTGGTAATATTTTGGATAAAGTGAGTTATATTAGGCCAAAAACCTTTCAGCACCTTTTGCAATCACAAATTATCTTACCAATTTTTATATAGCCTTAAAAAAAAAAAAAAAAAAAAAAAAAAAAATAATAATAATAATAATACATATTTATATATTCTTCATCAAAATATTTTATCTTAGGTGTGAGATAACACATGAAGAAACTTATTAGATAATGATTTTACTTAATTGAGGTTTGTCCTAGGTATGATGATAAACTACACCCGGCAGCATGACCTCCCATCAGGAAATTGACTGCTATTCACAAGTCCACCCTGGCCTGGAGTTGTAGTACCTGTTAGGGTCTCAGCTATGGATAAATAGTGACCCCCCCAAAAAAAAAAAAATCAGCAGTACATTTTTAGCAAAATCAATACAACACTAAAAAAAAGTACAAAAATATATCTTTACAGTAAAATTAAATTGAATTATATTATTATTATGTTTTGGTCGTTGTACACTCTGGCCTTCTTCAGGTAGTTGGTATGTTGAACTGAACCCCTTATTTCACTCGCTGTTTAATGGATGTCAGTTATCAGTTATCTCCTGTTAATTCACCTCTCCAAGTTCTCCACTGCCTTAACCAGGTATTGAACTCACCCTCTTTGAGTCCTGTCACTGGATCTAACCAATGCCTTTACCCACTGTGCCATGTGTCCTTAAGGACAAAGAAACGTGATAATTATGTTAACAAAGATGAGGACAATAGTCTGAATAATGTAAATAGTGTACATAATACCTCATCTCAGAAATATAGACAGATACTGAAGTATAAAATATGTATAAAATAGTTGACAGCATGAAATTATGTATACAAAATATTTAGATTTTGGCATTAACCAATAGAGGTTGATATGCCACTAAAGAAAACCACCAACAGAAACTATGTTGAAGTTGAGTAAGGTACTACAACAGATATTTATACAGTGTAGTTATAGTGGATTTTACAAATACTAGATTGACTGGATAAAGATGATGAGAAACAAGTTTTCCTCTTTCATAATTAGCCTCACCATACTGACACCAGAGAATAATCTTATGAATGGATTGGGGAAATTGTTGTAACAATCAAAATACTGAGAAAGGTCAGTAAAAATTCCTGCTCTTTTACAACATTTCAAGGTGCATCCAGAGTTATTTTCTGCTTTTAATATCAAAATTTGTATTCATTTTTATAAAATTGTGGTAGAGATTATCGCAGTATGACTAAAAATCAGCAACTATAATCTTGGGAAAAGTAATTATTCCAAATTTTGTTTGGACAATTGAATCATGTGATTTTCTTTGCTCAACAAAAAGGAAAGTATACAGCACTTTTGTGAATTAATTAGAATTCTTTGTATTTCATATGTGACACTATTAGAAAAGCATTAGTAAATTTAAAAACACTAAATTCTATTAGACTGAAGATATACTGATGACCAGATGAAGGAAAATAATATTTGTTTTTAATTGAGAAAAAAACTAGAAGACTGAAAAACACTAAATTCCGATAGGCTGAAGATATACCAATGACCAGACGAGAGAAAAATCAAAGAAAATGATACTTGTTTCTTTTTATTAAAAAAAAAAAAAAAACAAACTAGAAGGTAATTAAATTTCTCTGCCATGGAAGAGGTAAAACAAAGAGACCATCTGGTTTCAATTAGAACTGAGGCTACATGATGAACTATTTTGGAGGACTAAAGAAATAGATATTTTTACAACCATTGTGAGCATAGGGGAAAGAACAGACCCCTGGTTGCAAGGTCAGCCAATAGATGAGTATTGACTTTTAAAATCAAACAAGTTTCCAGCAGAAGATAGATAATAGAATGACAATGACCTGTTCATTGAACAAACTAGTCACTAAGTGAAGAGTCATACCTGATTGCTATTTCACATATACTACTAGAGCTGGGCACCAAACCTTTAATCCGTTAATTAATGAAGTTGTTATTTTTGCTGGCGATTTGATTTTTAAGTTTACTTTGATAATCATCACAGGTGGGCACCATTAATCAAAAAGTTAACTTCATTAACCATCAAGTCATTAACCAAAAATTAACTTTATTAACTGTTGATCAGTTAGTTATCAGAAGTTATCGATAAAACATTAATGTTAAATTCTGACCCTGTTCTTGCGGAGGTCTAGTGGCACTGACAGTTTTAACTTTGACAACATTAATAACTTCAAGTTCTTGAGATGCCATGATGACGTTCAACGTTGGCTTGGGGGGGGGAATTATTAGCAAAAATGTTAATCTCATTAATTAAAGTGATTAATATTTTGGTGCCAAGCTCTGCTGGCCACTCATATTCGAGGATACCTGTCTACTAGGGTGGCTAGCCGGTCCTTATTGCAGATGCTTGCTCAGGTGCATTTGTGTTTATTCAACACAGTGAGCCCACTTGTGGTTTATACTGCAACTATGCTGAGCAGACCTTAGTTACAGTTTCTGGGAAAGAGTATGTTATCTAGCATGATCAACAATTTGAACAAGGCCAGCATGTTCAAGACCTTGGCCATGATGACTTGTGACTGTGTTAGCACAGCTATTGATGGCCCCCAGGGGTACTGTCTACCCAATTTCACTCACAAGGCTTGGGTCAACCCGTAGTATGGTTTTCAGGCACTTTCCAAAGGTGCTGCATGCTGGGATCGACCCATCCAGTTCAATAATATCAGGAAGTTTCCTTCCTGACAAATTGACTATAGTGAGATTTGAACCTGAGACTCATGGTCAGAATGTGAATGTTCTAGCCACTCAACCATGTGCCCTTATACCAAGCTCTGTATACTACACATGTAATGGGTTTGTGTCAACCAACTTCAGAGAGCTTTAATGTCACTTTTACACATTTCTAATTTATTTTTAAATATTTATACCAATGATTTCCAATGTGGGGTACATACTCCACCGGTGAGGCATGGTAATATTTTGGTGGGGCAGGCGTAGGATGTGCCCCCCCCTTCAGTTTACTATACCAAGAGAATAAGGAGGCAATTTGAAAATGAATTATTAAGAGTTGTTTTCTAGTGAGTCTGAGTGAGAGTGTTAATGCTAATGTGCGTTAATACATATGATGCATATAAGTCGGTTATCTGCCATGTGTGATACACGCTTAAGTGATCATGTATCTTTCAATACATGAATGATGAGGCAGATTTTTTTCTTGCAGTAGGTTGCCATTTTTTTCTACAGTAGACCACTTGCTATCCAAAGCTATAGAACTGGTTCTGTCCTGCTATTTACCCATAGCTGGGAGGAGGAGAAAAGGATTCATGCCTTTCCCAAGCGTATTAGCACATAAGTGAATGTAATGGATTCAACTAGAATTTGAACTCAGCTCTCCAATTCCTCAATCTGAGCTGCTATCCATTACTCCAATGTACCTCCTCTCTTTATGCATACATAAAAATATTGTGTGTGTATGTGCATACATGTGTAATTAGCATATGTGTAAGAATTAAATATTACACGGGGGGGGACTAGAATTTTAGAAATGCTAAAGTGGGGCAAGGCTCAAAATGACTGATTTATACAGAACAACAGTGCACTGAACAGTAAATCTAATAAACAAATTTGAAAATCAGTTCTGTATTCTTTACTTTATTTCCATTTGTATACTACAAATGCAGTATAAGTAACTTTTAATTTATCTTTTTTTTTATTCATTTTCTTTTTTTACTAAATGTTTACCCAACACAAAGGCCAAGAGCCACTCAAGGTAGAGGGCTACTGAATGAGGTTGTTGTATAAATGTAAAATGCGGTAAAAAGAGCAGATCATGAGAACATGTAGGAAAGATAATGGCTGACCCTCGACTTGAAGCGGTTAAGATTTTAATGATCAGGGAAGCATCCTCTTGGGAGTTTGTTCCACAAAGCAGCAGATCTTGGGAAGGGGGTTGTCTGAATGGAACTTTCTTCTTACTAATGGAATAGGAATGGTTTGTCCCAGTGTACATATTTATTTGGATTCATTTCAAAGAGAAAACAATCATCAAAAATATTAAAAAGAAAATGTATCAAAAAATTACTAAAATTTAAAAAAAAAAAAAAAAATAATGAGATTTTATGGGGGGGATAAATTTGGGGATCGAGGAGGGGTTGTAAACAGATGTTGTTACGTGAAGAGTGGCTGTATCTTGTTTTGCAGACAATAACTTGACATGCTTTAGGGTCTTCTTGCCTTGAAGTCTGTTTGGCTTTTCTAAATAGTACAATTTTACTTTTAAAGTAGCTTATAGTTTCAAAATCTTACTGATTTTGGTAATGCGTATATTTGATTGACACAAGAAGTAATAGGCTTGTTAAAGACTTTTCTATCTTCTTACAAACTGAACACCTGAAGAAGGCTATAGTATAGAATGACAGAAGCATTGTGATAACAATATCGGCAACACAATGTGTTCAGTTGTCTGAACAATTCTTGGAATAGCTGTAGTAATTTGTCTCCAAGCCTTATGACATCATGAAATTATAATTCACACACAAGTTTTCTTTCTTTTTTTAAATCCAATAAAAATAAATAATTCTACATAAAAACAACAATAGACCACTGAGAATTCCTTTTGTGTTTCTTTGTTTCGGCTAAAATAAACTTGTTATTTTGCATTCCAATTCCATATAGAATCTTCAGATTTTTTTCCACTGCCATATGTTCCAATTACTATGGGAATAATTTTTACATTCCATAGTTTTTCTTTTAAATTACTGACACAAATCCTGCAATTTTTCTATTCTCCATTAACTCCTTCATCTCTCTGAAAACTGCTTCAAACACATTTACATAACTTTCAATAAAATTGATACAGTAACTAATTTAGGATGTGGAGGTTTAATGAGAGATTGCTTAATAGGCAATTTCAGTTGTCTTTTTTATTCTTTACTTTTCATAAATATTTAAGCTGAGTGAATCTATTGCCACCAGTTATTCATCAATATAGAAAGTTTCTTTGAAAGAAGAATGGTGGTATTTAATGTGTGGGTAGATATTCCCTTGTATTCTATCAAATACAATAACTCTGAATATAACAACATTAGTTTTTTTAATTGTATAATTGTAAATGCTTAAATAAAATTAAAATAACTGAAAAGGAATTTCAAGCATTTTTTTCTGAAATCAAAAGGAACATATATAATGGTCCTATAGTTATTTTTTACTACACAATAAAATTTATTTGTGTTATCCAAATATTACAAATAAATAAATAAATAATGGTTGGTTATCATTCTCCACACCTTGCTATCTTGTTTCTCTCAACAATACTTGCATCTTTATTAACTTTTTTTGTCTTTGTGCTATTTGTTTCTCCATCCATTTGCTCAAATTTGATAAGTAGATCCTCTCTTTTTCTGTGTGCCATATTCTTTTAATGTGTGCCATATTCATGGGCAATCATGGTTCACAACAGTTTCCTATCTTTTGTTGCTCTCAGTGATATTCACTCCTTTATAAACCTTCTAGTAAATTATCAAATTATCTGAACTTTCATTTGAAACAGTATTTACAATCATTTTTATCTGGAATTATGCATACATATATAGCTATATTTCATGGCAAGTAGATTAGTTATTGAAAGAACAAGAAAAATGCTTTTTAAAAATTATTTTTGAAGAAATAAAAACAAACATGATGGTGGATAAGTGACATGAATTTGTTGTCTAGCAAATTTGCTTGTGTAATAACTGTAATTGAGTAAAAAAAAAAAATCTTTGTAAAGAGATTTTTTTTTGTCATGAGGATACAGCAATTTTATTATGGCTACTTTGACATGACACTCCTGAAAAGTTGAGAGAAAAATATAGAAGAGAGAGAAAGAGAGAGGAAGCAAAAATAGATGGAAAACAGAAAAGTAGGGAGAAAGAGAAAATGATGAAGAATTAGTGTAGGCTGACAGAGAGAAAGCAAAATAGAAGGAAAACGAAAGAGAAAAAAGATGAAGAATTAGAGAAAGCTAAAATAGAGGGAAAACAAAAAAGTAGAGGAAGACAAAAAAGATGAAGAATTAATGAAGGCTGAGAGAGAGAGAGAGGGAAGCAAAAATAGAGGGGAGAGTGAGAAAAGATGAAGAAGTGTCAGCAAAAATAAGGGAGAAAGCAAAAATAGGGGAGAAAGGGGGAAAATTAGAGTATACTAAGAGATAAAGAGAAAGCATAAAAATAGAGAGAGGGAATGGTGAAGAATTAGAGTAAGCTGGGAGGGAGAGTGTGGAGAGAGAGCCAAAGGGATTGCCTGAAAGAAACAGAAATAGAGATCTCCTACTCCAAGAAAGTTTCTCAATAATAAATAATGCCATTTAAAATCATAAAGAGAAAGAAATCTTACCTGAAAACACTAATAGAAATCAATTATGTTTTTTTTTCAAACAAATGGACCAATTCTTTCCTTAATTCTATTGTTTCTCTTTGTTGTTTCTTTCCCTAACCCTTCATTTTCTATTAACTTTTTCTGCTGTCCAGCAATATGTTCATAAATTTCTTTTATACCATAAGCATCTTAAAGGAGACCTCTTCTATAAAGTACATGAGTCTCTTTTCCACTTTTGTAAGTCAGGAGTTAGTAGCTTCTACTACTAATAGCAAAGTTGGTCAACATGAAAAAAAATGTGTACACCTGCATGCACGTGTACACACACACACACACAAACCATTGTATGGTATGAATGAATATATTTCTAAATTTGTATATCAGTTACTATATATATCTATGTAATTATATTCATAAGATAAGTGTGTGTCATTCCCTTGCCTAACCATTCTCCCATTTAATCTTCCTCCCTCACCCACAAACATATGAGGAACAGCTTTTCCAACACATGCCTTATAATTACTGCCCAGGAAACTCCAGATCTAATTATAGTTTACACTTTACTTATTATTTTCTATAAAGCAACCAGTTCCTTGTATTATCTTGGCAGCAGAAGCAACTCAAAGAACATGTGCTGATAAACACAACTAGTGTTTTGCTTAGTTGATTCACTCATCAAATAATGGGTGATACACAAGACTTCTTTAACTTATTCGGAGGAAATAAAAAAAAGAGTTTCTCTTGTTATTAACACTTTTAAGACCAAGGTAAAGAAACGAATCCTTAAAAGGACCTATGGTTGCCACATTTTTTTGTTAATAAAGCATTGGAGGAAAATGAAATAAAAACAATAAATACAATAATAATAATAAAGAATAAAAAAAATAATTTTCCCATGATGCAAGTTATAAAGACATCGGAAAGGGTTTCTGGTCACATGTGCGATTGTATAACCCCACTTCCAGAAAGGAAAGAATTTTTCTCTTTCCACTTTCCAATGGGATCATTCGGATATGTTTTAACAGCCCTAGTCATGAAGTAGAGGTTCAGTCTTTCCAACTCAGACTGAAGCTAACTTGAGCTTGGCCATCTTCACCTGTTCTTATCCTTACTTCCCATAAATAATTTTTGAACCAAAAAGGAAAATGGTCATACTCAAGAGACATTTAACTTTGTTTCAATACAGTCGACATGAAAGTAACAAATGTCTATAGTAGAAACTCAAGTTCTTTTGTATGCTTCTATCTTTTTGTTTATATATTGAACATGAACCTTCACCTAAACTTGCACACAAAACCCACAAACTTGTTAACCTCTACAGCATCAGAGATTTTGCAAGCATTTAAATATGTAAAAATATCCTATAATTGTATTTGTCCTTCCCTTTGTTACTTCACACAACCATTATGTCCTGCCAATACCTCAAATAATGGCTATTCTGTTTTTATTGTGTGGAAAGAGGTGAAAGACACTACTTGGTTTCAGTGAGAGAGAGAGAGAGAGAGAAAGAAAGAAAGAACTTTTAATGTCTCCTGCCAATATCTCAGAAATAATGGACTATTCTATTTTGATTGCATGGAAAGAGGGGAAAAGACACTACTTGATGAATGAAAGAAAGAAGGAAAGATAGAAGTGTTTAACAGCTCTGTCAGTGAAATTGAAAAAATTGTCAATTTTAAATCTTTTCATTTGTACTCACTTCTTAAAATAATGACCAGACGCCATATTTATGATTGTTATTGCAATATTTTGTTAAAGTTGTCAAGTATTTTTATTGCTGTAGAACTCACCATGAGCTTATCCCAATCATTAACTTAAGAATTAAGATTCATAAAAATATCAATAAAGGAAAACCATGAAAATTTCACAGTTACACATAATTCTTTTAAAGCAATTCTGAAAAATATACCTGCAGATTAATTATTTACCCCCCCCCCAAAAAAAATGAAACACACACACAAAAAAACAAAACAAATCATGGTTAATTTTGATAATATTTTCATGTTAATCAAGTCACCCCAGTTACTATATTCTCAAGACCAGACATTTTTCGGATGAGATAAACTGGCAAAACCAATTTTCCATTTGTTAATGAAATATTTATGATCTATATGCCTTTTTTTCCCTTCAAAGTTATTATTGTTCTTTATGAATCTATAAAGAAAACAATAAACTAAAATGAGAGAGAGAAAGAGTGACGAGAGAGAGAAAGAGTGACGAGAGAGAGAAAGAGTGACGAGAGAGAGAAAGAGTGACGAGAGAGAGAAAGAGTGACGAGAGAGAGAAAGAGTGACGAGAGAGAGAAAGAGTTACGAGAGAGAGAAAGAGTGACGAGAGAGAGAAAGAGTGACGAGAGAGAGAAAGAGTGACGAGAGAGAGAAAGAGTGACGAGAGAGAGAGCAAAATGAGAGAGTGAGCAAAATGAGAGAGTGAGCAAAATGAGAGAGTGAGCAAAATGAGAGAGTGAGCAAAATGAGAGAGTGAGCAAAATGAGAGAGTGAGCAAAATGAGAGAGTGAGCAAAATGAGAGAGTGAGCAAAATGAGAGAGTGACGGAAGACCAAAATGAGAGAGTGACGGAAGACCAAAATGAGAGAGTGACGGAAGACCAAAATGAGAGAGTGACGGAAGACCAAAATGAGAGAGTGACGGAAGACCAAAATGAGAGAGTGACGGAAGACCAAAATGAGAGAGTGACGGAAGACCAAAATGAGAGAGAGAGAGTGAGTGACGGAAGACCAAAATATGAGAGAGAGAGAGAGAGTGAGTGACGGAAGAGCAAAATGAGAGAGAGAGAGAGTGACGTGAGAGCAAAAAGAGAGAGAAACAGAAAAAAGAGAGTGAAAAATAAGAAACGGTTTTTGTCTTCAGAGTAAAGATATCACTTTTATTCTGCTTTTTTGAACATACGTAGTATATGCACTTGAAATAGTAACATTGCATTTTTTTTCTATCACAATATTATGCTTTAACTTATGTGTCAAACCTGCCCTTTTTTGTGCTGAATATTTTGTTTTGCTTTATTTGTTTAGCCTTTATTCTTAAATAAAGAAGACAAACATTGGCCTCTAAAAATGTTTTCACTAGTATTTTTTTTTTTTTTTTTTTATTATTCGAAAATGTCATGCCTTGAAAAGGCAAAACTAGAGGAATTTAAATATAAATAAAAATATACCAAGTATTATTTAAAAATTAGCTTGATTGATTTTGAAAAGAAATTAATTTCTTAGAGATATATATATATTTAAAATAAGTACATTTTGATATACATTTTAACTACCATAGAGAAACGCTTTGAAATAGATAATGCAAAATTTAACATAACTCATTTGAGAATTCTGAAATTTGTTTCACAATGGCACAAATAGATTTAGTTCTATGAGAGGGGTGCTGAAAACTCAGCTCAATCCCAAAAATCACTACTGTAATTCCACATGTATAATATGCATTTTTTTATAAAAAATAATAAGCAAAATTAGGGATGCGTATTATGCACAGCTACAAATAATCTTCAAAAAAAAAAAAAAAAAAAAAAATACAATCATATTTACTTAATAATACTTACAAATGTAAAAGAAAATAAGAATTATCATAAAACTAAATTAGAATAATATTATTCTTTGTTTAAAACCATTTTTTAATAAGAGTAGGAAACGCTGGTCGTAATGAAATTGGAGAGGTACAATTTATAGGGTTTGATTACAAAACAAGAGGTGTGTATTATGTGTGAGTAGAAGCATTTTCCCACACTTTCAGCACAATTTTAGGGGTGCGTTTTATGGATGAAGGTGTATTATAGCTGGAGAATTATGGTATTTCAATGACTAAACATTAGAATGATTTTGGGATGTGGGTTGGTCTGAGGAATTTACATTACCCTCTCATATAGTATTTAGATGAATTGGAAACACTACTTAAATAGGTTGGCCCACTTGTAAAAAAAATAGTGGAAATTTTCCAATAAAATTTTCATAGATTAGTGTTCTTTATACCTTCCTGAACCTATAATATCGAAACAGTGTCAAATTGATCCCTGACTTTTACAGAGTTATCTGAACTAGTTTTTTTTAGTTTTTTTTTTATTTACAAATGTCATGACTTGAGAATATGCTTATATCATTGATATTTTTATTTTTTATACTTTTGTTAACTAATCTAAATTTTTGTTCTTTAATTAAAAATATGTCACTACTTTAAAAATATACACATCTGTTTAATTTTTTAATGCTGAAAATTTTTTTTAAAAAAAAAAACAAAAAAAAAACATCTCTTTTGCCAAAGGAAATGTTTGTTCGAAATATTTTCCTACAATAAAACATAAAAATTTATATAAAATGTTGTTTATTTAAAAGAAAAAAATTTGTAAAGAGAACACAAAAAAACAAATGTGTTTTTATCAATCACATAAGCACAGTTTCTTCAAATTTTACTTTTGCAAATGAAGTGCCAAATTGTAATAACTTTGTAAAACTCAGGAATCAATTTTACACTGTATCAATAGAATAAACATTAAACTGAAAAAATTTTTTTTCTCCCCCTGGATTTGAATTAAATTTAAATTTTAACAAGGTAATGACTCCAAGAGTACTTGGATAAGTATCTTTCATTTTGATCAAAGGGGTCCCTCAGGGAGGGGGACACAAACCACCCACTGATTTTTTTTCCCTTTCATATAAATTAAATTTGAACAAGGGAATGACTCCTATCCAAAATATAGAAGGAGAAAGTCAGATGGAGATCACGTCAGCAAGATCATTGAGTAATATTGAAATGAATAATTTTTCTTCACAAATTGTAACAATGATTTAAAATCAATCATCATCATCTTACGAAAAAGATGTATGACACACAGCAAGATGTGGGTAATTTGGCTTGTATATTTGTAGAATATGAAGAATTTTACTCAAATTTAAATTTATTCAATACAGAACTTTATTAAATATGGTAATGTCCTTAAAATAAAGATTTTCCAAATATTTAAACATTAAACAGGATGAGTGAGATATTATATTTAAGGTTTTAAGTAGCCAATTTTGTTGCTAATAAATCTGTGTGTGTGTGTGTGTCAGAGAAAGACAAATTTCTTAGAAAATTATGAAATTTTCTAATTATCAAAATGTACTAAACAAAATATTTAAAACTTATCCAAGATCTAAATACCCTGACAATGAGCTTTTGTGAATAACATGATGGTAAAATTGACAGATTATATTTACAACAGAGCAACAAGCAAGCAAGGTTACTGTGTGTTGCCTGGATTATAATTCATTTTCAGATTGCAATTAAGCTTCATTTTAACAAAGTTTTTAACTTGCTTTTCTTTTGCCTTTGAAATGTTATGCCACAATAAAAAGGAAGAATTAAGTTCCTTAGACTAGACTGAATAGTAATATATGGGAAATAAACTATTGGCTATAAGTTTTGGACGACCTTCTGAATTTTGAAGAATTGCATAAAAATTGAAGATTGCACATCATTTTCCAAATTAATTTACTAGCTAACTTTGGATCAGAAGGATTTTCTATTCCTGAAAAGTTTTATCATATTTTCAATAATAATGAAATTAATCCATTACTGCATAAAATTTTCTTAAAATCTGAACTCTTTTTGCCTAATCTATCTTGCTAGTAATCTTAATGCTGACAGGTTTTAAATTTTAGGTAATCCCTTCACTAAAAGATTTTATGCCTTGCACTAATGGGTTAAATAATTCCATCAGCATCCTAGATTAGTAGATATTCATTAAATCAAAGAATGTGTCCCAAAACATTTGGCCTGTAGTGTATAATTATATATAGTTGGACTAATATCCTCATCTTTGTTGTTGTTGTTAATGCAACATTTTCACCAAAATGTTGCAACATCTAACAACAAAGATAAGGACATCAGTCTGACAGTAAATAATATAAATAACAATAACTCCTATTCCCATAAATTCAGACAGAGGAAACCAGTTCAGAAGGATAGGAAGTTGTGGCGAACCATGATCCCCCACATCCTGAATGGACATGACACATATAAGAATATTGACATTTATTAAATAATCTGGTTTTATTTACATTTTAAAGCAATCTTTAGACACTACCAATCAACATTTCTAGGTTAGAAGTCTAGTCTGTAGCAATGTTAACAATTTGTAATTGGTATCTCATTTACAGATAGATATCCAATTACTGGGCATAAAATTAAACAAGACGGTAAAAAATATCTATTGTTAACAATTCATGATAGTATACAATGGGTTAAGCTAAGAAGGGGTAATCTAAATTACAGTTCATTAGTTAAAAGCAAAACCAGTTGATTTACTAAATCATACTTAACTATTCTAAAATAAAAATCAACTCAATAATTAGTTAAAAAGAATTTATTTTAAAAGGGTTGTTTACATTTTTATTCCTGTAATTGCTATTGTAAAATTTTAATAGATTACTTTGCATTCTAGTTTCTTAAAAAAAAAAAAAAAAAATTACTATGAAGTGTTACAATTGTATTTTTGATCATAGACTTTATAGTATTTCCAGACTTTCAACACACTAACAACTCCTGTATTAATATTGTATGATAGAAAGGTAGGATATATAAAAATCTGTCTTCATTAAAACAAAGGATGAAATCCATGAAAACAGATCTCTGGATGCATATTTGCAAATATGCATTTGGAAAGCAAAATGTCTTTTTCTCAGGTAGCCTGGATTAGTTGAATATTTATACTAAACAAAACATTCAAAACCTCACCAAGATATAGATAACAAATCTATTATTATTATTTAAATCTTTAGGATGTAGGCAATCATGGCTCTCCACAACTTCTTATCCTTTGTAGCTCTTAGTAACATTTGTCATTTTATCATAACTCCCAACATAATAGATCTTTTCTTCTTAAATAAATGTTTTAATGGAAATTGAGATTTTTCTTGTTAAAATTATTTAAAAATTTTAACACCTTCAACATTATGGACAAAAAATAGTGAATTTTATATCATATTTTTTAGACTTTGCTTGAGGGAAACAAATTCACAGATTGGTGGGGGGAGACCCCAGAATCACATCAAAATCTCCGAAAATTTTTAGTTTAATTTGCAATGTATAAAATTGTAGGTAGAAAAATAGCAAATGTTGATAAGATAGCGAAGGTCACAAAGCACTGCTTGGGGTCCCCAATCAGGATCCTTCACATTTTGATTTTCAGCATCACACACACACACACATGCATATACACATGCACAAAAGTACAAGGTAGATTTGATTCAGTGTTTTAATATATAGTAATCTAATATTCCTCATGAATAATGAATATACATTTTTATTTTATTTTTTTTTCATTTAATCATTTCACCCCTAGCAAGGCAATAAAGTTACTAAGACACAAAGAGTTACTGAATTTTAGAGAATATGAGAAAAAATATATTCCACTAAAACTTGTTTGGTGAACATATTTGGCAGAATTAATATAAAATAGTAACACAAATTCAGTATTTTATTTACAGTACAGCACACATTGCATCTGAGTATAAACACTGACTGAAGCACCATTTAACTCAGGCAAGCATTCAGATAACTACAGTGATACTGTGTTTTACAATAACATATGATATACAGTAGTACTGTAAAAAAAAAAACAAAAAACTACTTGGTATAATGTGTAATCTATGGTATTAATATTTTATAGAAGTTGATATTGACTTTAATGTGTTTATCAGTAGACCTGATGAATTTTAAATGCTTACTATGCTATACTGATACAATATGCAGTACCTACCAGTGTGTGTTGTAGGTTGTTTGCTATACATTTGTTGTAATGGAATGTCCCACACTGCCTATCACCTATGTGGAATAACTATATCAGTAGAAATATATATATATATATATATATATATTAGTAAGCACAGGACATACCTGGCAAACTTGCTTCAGGAATTATTAGCTTGCGAACTGATT